TTATTTTGAATTGTTTTGAGGATCAATTGGTCTTATGGTCCTCTCCTTCATAGGTGCATGGTCTGCTTATTTGTTTCAGGTTTGTTATCCTTTTGCAGTTGCAGTTCTGTCTTTTTGTATTTTCACGGGTTTTAGGTGGATTTCTGTTCATATGTTTTAATTTTCATTGGAACGCAGGGATTCCGTTTTTGTTTGTATTTAAAAATATTCCTGGTTTAGTTTTTAAGGTATCCATTTTCATTGCTTTGCAGTGTAGTGACACTGCTTCAAATCAGAGTACTGTTCTGTGCTACAGAGTTGATGAAACTGCAGATTTCATAATTCATAATTCATAGCTGCAATTGTCAATACATGTTATTGTAGGTAAGTCTGAAAACCATGCTGACAGTGTAGTCTAGCATGACTGCCAAATTTTCCTTTTTTTCATTTAATCTTTTTGGTTTAAATTGGAATCTGTCAGGATTCTGAAAGCAGTGTAATATTTCTCATTTTATGTTCCTGGTATTTCCTGATTCCTCTTACTGATTCTACTAAATTAGGTTCATTTTAAAGTTCTGAATTGATCAAATTCTGTATATGGTATGGTAAAAGGTTTAAATAATAAATTATGACTTGACTTTGCTTGCAGTACTGCATTTGACTGCTGTTACACTGCAAATTAAAACGGGGGGTGATTCTAGTCAAGAAGGCCTAATCAATATCCTAAGATGAAAATAGGAATTGCTCATTCTTAACAATATCTAAAATGTGGTAGAGTATTACCTAAGTGACCTAAGTCCTTTCAAAATCAAACAGTTGGCATTATATGTCAATTTAAGCCTTTTCTGATTAAATCGTTATGTTCTTACAGAAAAGCTGCCAGGCTGGCTTCTTGCTTGAAAGCACCATGTAATTTGATGACTTTTTGATGGTGATGAATTGTGAATCAGAGGAACACAAATTCCAGCCCAGAGTGTTGATCAGGTAAAGAATTTCAGGGTTGTGTAGCAGAACATGGACATTAGGAATCTCCCGACATGCTTCTTCTAAAAACGTCTTTCACATGATCTCAATAAGTTTCTTTCTTTTTCTCAAGTCCAAATTTAATTAGTTTAAATAAATGAAGATATGGGCTACTGTTTTTAGTATAATGTTATGGTTAATTTATTATTTAGCTACATGCTCAAAATCAGCTTTAAGAATATAGTACTTTAGTATTTAATACTTTTTGCCGATCTCTTATTATGTTTCTTGTTTTCCCATTAGCCATCTCCCTCCTAAAGCGAATCTGTGTGAAGAATATTCTATTTGTTCTTTCTTGTGTCCCTAAGCCGGTTCAACACAGGTATCCCTATCGCCATCTCTGCCACCCGACCCAGAGCTAATCTGAGGAGGCCCCAGCTAAAGACTCTTTCTGTTTTCTCCTCCACACTTATTACTGACAGATCAAATCCAGTCTGTTGTAATCCTGATCGGTTTCGTGAAGCCATGAAGCCTTGTGAAGCTTTTTGTTTGATGGATCAAAGCAACTCTGTCCACGAGGCTGTAAGGAACGAGGAACTCCTTCAAGTGTCATTTTATGTCATTAACAATTTTCAGAAGGTATTACAGATAGGGCGGAGTGATTAGAATTGAGAGGAGGGGATCTTTTCCCCTTCCAGGAATATCCCATGAGACTTTGTTAGTGTGTGAAGTTTCATCTGATTAATGGGGGCAGAAGATGACTTTCTGTTCTATGGTAAATTGCTTTAGCTAAATCAAGTGTGCAGTACTTTTTATAACCTAGCATAATAAGCAGGAGATGCGGAGCTACAAAGCAAATCCATACCACGCTTGTGAAAATTATAAAGTTCATTGAAAATGGAAATCCCCATCAAATTAAATATACCAAACTAAAAATAAACCGTAAAGAATGCAGTATTTCACCACCCATTGGAGCATATATTTGTCTTGTTCATTTGTATATTTTTGGGTACCCGTTTGAAATTGAATATTATTTTTTTTCTTTCAGGTGAAAAGCACAAATTGATCATGCATTTCAAAACTCTTTCCATAATTTAAAAATGCACAAGTGTCCTAGAACAACTGTTTTGAAATTATACTAATTACCACTTGGTAAACACTGTCTCTCGGTCATGCAAATTCTTAAACTGTTTCAGTGAAATGAAAGGCAAGAACTAGTAATTAAATCATGCTTCGGGGGTACTGCAATTATTTTATCATTATAACATCAGCACTATTTTTAATTAAATAAAAAAGTTTTCTAATTAAGAGTCACAAACAAAAATCCCGAGCATTGTGTTGTGTGAAAAAAGCTTATCTTATGCTGACAGGTTTCTCTGAACTTAATTCCTCCAGAGGACATAAATACAAGTTCAAGCAGCTGTTCCTGAGTTTGAATTGTTAAATTGCTTCACTTTCAATCATAGATTTTTCATAGATGACTTCAGTCAGTTTATCAGATATTCATCATCATATTTCTCTGTTTCTCTTAAAAAATCTAGATCACACCTCTTCAAAATAACCTATTGAAATTAACACTCAAGGAAAACAAAATAAAATTGCGTGTAGTGGAGCACAAATTATTCAGATTTATATCTAAGTCATTCCATGCAGAATTATCCCATTAGCAAGACTTCAATCAGACAGGTATTACTGTTTATTTCTGTAAATACTGCACCCTTACTGTAAATGCCTCCACAGTTTAAATAAACCTCACTGTATACTTCATTAATTAAAGCTACACATTGGCCTGATTTGCTGATCAATAGAAAATGTGTGCATTGTGAGAACAAGCTACCAAATGCTGGCTTGTTCATTTTTTTCCCTGTTCTATATGCATGCTGATCACAGGCAAAGGATTCAAAATGGTCTCACTGCTCAACTTCCAGCAGCAGAAGCAATTTGGGATGCAACACCTCGTGATGCTTATCTGTGGATTGGCTCGGAATTATTCACTGTTCTCACTTAGTGTCAGGTGTTGCAAGTGAATAGAGGAGCAGTGAGGTGCATCTAACACTTCTGTCTGTACCGCATGATTCAAGAAATCTGATGCCTTTAAAAGGGTCTTTTTTAGCTTGGATTCATGGGAAGGAACCTTAAGTTTCAAATAGACGTGTCCTGTCTGTTTACATACTTGGGTAGGCCTGTTATTTTTATCAGTTCATTTGCCTAGCGGATTTACCTCTGGTGACCTGTAGAATTGCAATAGATACAGTCCAATTCACTGTGAACGCAATTCACAATTCTACAGTGGTAATCAGGAAAATATCCGGATTAGCAGAATGAACCTTGTATGAACTATTCGGTTTTACACCACTCAAATGAAACGATTGCGGTACATTTTTGTGTATTGCTGTGGACGATCACATTAAATCTAAGCGATACTGCAGAAGTGTTTACAACAAAAAAATATTTTTTTATATGCCTTACAGGGTACTAAGGTTTCCAAGTAAGAAGCCATTTTTTTCCATTTTGCATGTTGTTTAGTGGAAAGCTGTGGTGTGATTTATCCCAGTATTAATACTTACAGTACCTGTATCTCTTCCTTGCTCCAGGAGGATGTGTTAATGAGAGGGCCTGGCTTTTCTTCACTCTGGCCCAGAATTTCAAACCAATTTCCTGGTATGGTGACAGGGGATATTGTGCTGTAGGACTCACAATCCTTGAGATGTTAAACTGAAGTCCCGACTTTGGTCATTAAAGGTTACAAGTGCTGTCTAAATCTGAATAAGCATTCTTACTTTCACTCCTGATCTGCTGTGTGGTGGGGCCACTGTGCTTCAGGAGTGGATAAAGTAGGCTCCCCCCTACAGTATATCTTAAGTTCTCTGGTGGACCATATAGGATGAACAGCACTATATAAAATGAATCATTATTAATTGATAATAGTTATAATTATTATTATATTAATTATATTATTATTTTATAAAATTGTTTTTTATTCATGGCCATTTATTATTATTAACCAATTCCATTATTAAAAATGTTTTCTTCATATTCATACTATGTCTTAATAACGTCTGTAATTCATATTTTGGTCTAGTTATTCATTACCTTAATCCTCCTTTAACAAGCTAAAAAAATCCATTCAACTCAACAGTTTGGGGATTGATAGTCTTAACTAATATACCTATTTTGACTAGAGTTAGCTGATTAAACTCATTTTAACTTCCTGTCTGTTAACCCTCTGTTTAACAGATTAGTAAGTGGAAACGGGTGTCCTTTATTGTAGAATTATGTATGTTTAATCACAATTTTTTTTTCTGGCTATAAACACACTATCATATGGTTAAAATGTATATGCTTCTTAGATGTTTTGTATGTACATGTATCATAAATATACTGTATAAAATCCGATAAAGCATATGAGACACAAACAGGACCCACCATGAGCTTACCTCTATTAGATTGGGCACCATCTTAATCCCTGAGTTTTAAACCTATGTAATATTTACTTTATCTTGTTTTGAGATTTGAGCATTTCATGATTATTATGGGGGAAAGTCCGGTCTGCTTTAGCAGATTTTGTCTGTTAAATCCGAAGTCCCTGAAAGCAAAGTCCATTCAACTGAGAAGTTACTGTCCAGTTTATTCAGCCCAGTTTCAGCTTTGAGTACTTGAAGGGAGTGTAAAGATCAGAAACAGGAGTCCCATACCAGTACTTAAGGTCCAAATGCTGGGGTCTTTTAAGAAAAGGTTTGTGCAAAATGTTGTGCTCACTTAGCTGCTAAACTACCAAACAAACATGATGGCTCCTCTTCTTTGAAACCTCTCTCAAAGAACTTGTGTGATCTGTGCCTCTTTATGTTATTGGTTTTGGCAGCATGACCAGTCAACGGAATTGGCAGATTTTAATGTTAAAGTAAGTGGCTTATTAGTCGTAATTTTGCATATGTTGTTGCTATAATTTGTGTTATAGCCAAAAAAAAAAATTGAGATAAGTGCCCTTCTTACATTACAAATAAATGCGTCGGCAACAGGTGGATATCCTGGATATATATCCTATATTGTTAAGTGATGCTTCCTGTTATTTCTTTGTAACAATGCTAAGAAATGTCATTTTTGGGGTCTTCTTCCCAAAGGATCCCAAAGTGTTTTACATGCAGGACAGGACCTCCTTCATCTACCACTGAGACGCAGCTTTTAGCAGGGTGACTTGTGGTAGCACCCCATGCAGGTCAGGTGGAGAAATGAGAAATTACCTCACCGATTAAGTCAAGGAGGAAATTAATGGACACCTGATTGTGAAAACAGAGAATGGAATTTACCCAGGACACCAGTTTAATCTGTCTCGTATCTTGAAAAGAACTTTGACTGACTATATTGTCAGGGCCTTGGTTAGTTTCATTTTTAATGTCTCTCATCATATATCATATCTCATCATCTTTGAAAGAACATGCACTTGTGAAAACAGTATCTGTCCTTCCCACACCCATTCCATTCTGTTTTACAGTAAGAATGGATTCAGTAGTTTGATTAGATCTTAATGAATGCAATCGAGGAATGAAATATGTAAAGTATAATTGGAATAACTTGCCTAGCTGAGGGAATGGCAGCCAAGCTGTGAGGATAAGGGTGTCCAACACTCCCCCCTCACTACAGGGAGGAGTGAGCTAGGGTATGGCTGCAAGGGTGTAGATGGGGTGGAAGGTGGGTGTGTGAGAGAAGGGAAGTCCTGGGTTCGAGACTTGTATATGTAGCTGAGTGGAAGTGTGTTTAGGATCTAACCTTCCTCCTGAATGTCTGCTATCAACTCCATTAAGTATGTTATACATACAACATATGATACATATGTCAGGTATCGTATATGAACATTACATAAATGTATGCACAACTATTTTAGTGGCTTCATAGATCTTTCAAAAAATCTATATCATTTCACCTTTGAATAAAACAGGGGAGGGATATAAAACAGGGGTGGAAAAAGGCATTGCCTGCACTTTGAGTTATTACACGTGCATCATAACCTGTTCACCGGCAATCTGGTGGAAATTCTTTGGATGTTGCTGAACAAAGAGCGCTGATGTTGGCATGCAGAGAAAAAAATGATATGGTTAAAACCTATACTCGATTTCAGGGTCATTAATTGCACCTCCTAATGGGCATTTCACTTTATATGACTATTTTCTGATGTGAAAGCCTCTTCATCTAAATTAGAAACCACATTGGGTCAGACCAGAGTGTTAGTCATAGCCCCATGGTATGTTTGGAACAATACGTTCTGTAGTGTAAAAAAAAAAAATTTAAATCACAGCCGCAGACTAGAATGGCCTTAGAGAACACTATGCCTCTGTAAGCAGTTAGTGGCCTTTCTTTTTTGAAAGATACTACCTACATTGTTTGATATGCATGTTGAGAGAATGACAAATGCCATACAGTGACCCAATGTACTATTTCTCATTTTGTTCTTTATTATGTTAGTCTAATGGCTTTCCAGTTTTAAAAGTTAATTTCATTTGACTTTATGCAGCACCCAGGCTCCAAAAATGTGCCACTGCGAGTCACTGCTGACAGAAATAAATGGTAAGTCATTTTTTTTTATCACCATTACACACAGGATTTGGACCGTCTTACTATGTGTTTTTTAAAAGCTTGAATTATAAAATCTAATATGTGAATTGTCGGGTAGAAACCTTCAAACATCATTTAACAGACATAGTGACTAAATGAATGCTTGAAATTATTGCTACTTTCTTGTGAAAAGGGAGTGGTTCTGCCATAGGATTCATGAATTCAATCTGGAAACACTGTGGAAGTCTTAGCATTGTAAATCTTCATGCTTAAAAAAAATAAGCAGTGTACCGTTTATTTTTTGTATTAATGTAAAAAGACAGGCTGTGGTGTGACTCACTATGACTAACAGCCTGATAGCAAAGGCCTTGGGGGTCAAGTTACATTAATAAATTCGTGCTGGGAAAATAGTATTCCTGAAAGATACAATTAAAACTTAGGGAATGAAGACGTTAGTTTGTATCTTCTGATGCTGGTTTGCATGATCTGCTGTTTTAAATCTTCACGTGACAACTGAATTAAAACAATTAGGCATGTCCCCTTTGATGTATAACATGGGAACCTGGTAACATCATCATCGTTTTCAGTAGAACATTTACATAGTGCTGTTCATCTCAGAGGCTCATTCCAAGTATTCTTCTGTTATGTATTCCTTTAAATAACTTGAAAAAGCCTTATGTAAAACAAAGAGAGGCCGGGGTTAATCAGAAATCATGCATATTATATGTCTGGTAATTTACGGAGGGTTTCAGTTTACCTTTGGGGTAGTTGACAGAAAGCTGCCGCCCCCTGAGAATATACAGGAATTTGTGATTGGTCATGCGTTGAAGTTTGCATTTAATTTGGGTCTGAGACAAGACAGGAATGCTCAGGTGTCCACGTCAGTGCTGCACACAACATCACATGAAATCACTTGTGTTTACATTCTCATCGAGCCAGAGCGCAGGGCTGCGACTGGCCAGCACTGTCGGAATGGAGCCCCAGGAGGGTGGCCCTCTCGGGGCAGAAGAGCTGTCCACGGGCTAAGCAGTGGGAGATGTCTGGGGCACACTGCCACCTGCTCCATCTCTGGGCCTGGTCCGGGGTAACACTGCCTCATGTGGCCCGCTCGCGCGGGCACCCAAGTGAGCTTCACCATGGAGCGGCCGGGTCAGGCCCCTAATTGCTCGGCTTACCAAGGATGCGTCATGGCTCATTAGCAGTGCAGCTGTAAATTGTATTCAATCTGGATGTGACCTTCAGTAAACACAGGAGAGGATATTCATATAATTTTTGCTGGCAGGGCCTGCCAGGATCCTGTGCCAAATGCGAAGAGGGAGCAAACAAGAAGGTTTTGACTGAGGTCTGCTGGCTTTCTGGTGGAATCCAAGAGTTCATCGGGTTATCAAAACACACACCCTCTCGAGGCTTTAATAAAGTCCCCCTAACAGGCAGTACTGTTTTGTTGGAAAACTAGGTAAGCCTCCCAGTACAGTACTTTATTGATTTCTGTTTTCATTCTTTCGAATCCTAAGCCAACTTGGAGTGAATACTGAGAAGGTATGATAGCTTGCATATGGCATCTAACTGGAGCTTGTAGGAGAAGAAGGCAGGCAGAAGTGATGCCCAGTTCAACATTCAAAATATTAGTTTACATATTCAGAAACTATTGTATTAGCAGTACAATTAGCAAGGCACCTCAAGTTACTCTGATCAATGTCAGTGAAACATTCTTTGCAAGTCATATCTTCTGCAAGGTAAGATTAAAAGATTATTTTTCTTTCATAAACTGTAAAGCCATTCGAAATGGATTATGAATGGTTACTTTATTGTTTCCTCGTAATCACGTCATTATCTTGCTGTATCTCTCCATAACGCTTATTGGAGATTTTGTAAAGCGTTTTTTTTTTTTGCAAGGCAAATCCCTAAACCTCTATTCTGCAACTACAGTGAAAGTAGAAAACCTGTTTGACTCACTCACAGAAACGTGATTGTCTGTATAGCTGGATGCCTTTTCTTCCCCATGTAATGTGGCAGTGAATGTCTTGCACCTGAAGATTCGCTCCAAATTGTTTGATTTCTGGATATACAGTAGACTTGGAAAATAGCCAAACCCTGTACCTGTTTATCTAAAGAAAGGATTAGTGCCCATCAATCTGACATTTAGTAGAGAATGCCAGCTCTTGGAGTGCTAGCTGTTTTAACACCTGCATCGAATTGGTTAAGATCATTTTAAGGCTCTGTCAGTTCAACCTTTTGTTGTCTGATCAACTGCAGAAGCTCTGTAACCCCCATCCCCTATTAGAGTAGACTGAGGGAAGTTCTACCACAAATGAAATCTGTAAAGTGTTTACAAAATGACTAAGCTCAGCAACAGTGCCTATGACTAAGACACCTGGGGCTGCTATACCATGGCAAGTACTGTATGCTGAATGATATTTAAAAAAAAGAAATGTGATTGCTTCCAGTGGTCGTTTTTTTTTTTAACACCTCTCATTATATTTAGCATTGGAAATTAAATTGCTTAGTTTCTCTGTTGATATCTTTAAACCGTGAGACTAAAAATTCACATTTTCCTTCAGAAAGATTTGATAATTAAATTGGTTAACTTTGCTGTAATATGGCAGCTATAGAATTTGAGTTTAAGAGCTACAGTATTTCCAGTAGATATTCTGAAAGATTTAAATGTGACCACAAACTAGTTGGACAATGTGACTCTAACTACAGTATGGAGACTATATGAGACCTTCTGTTGTAAAAACCTTCTATAACTATATTTTGTGTGTGTTCTGTTAATGATTGTTATTTAGGAATGTTCAAAGATCTATCAGTGTAGTGCTTTTATATTTTATATTAATTAATCAAAGTCATTTGTATTAACATTACATTGCAAGACTTATAAAAACAATAAAAATATATAAGTAATCCTTGCCAAGCTCATAAGAAGAATCTGTTTATCCTAGCTGATAACCTTACACCCTGACAGAATACACACATCAATCCCAGCTCTAGACATAACACACTGCAATTCACCGTGCTCAGTTTAATTAGCATGGATAGGGTTTCCAAACTGCAAATTACAAGGAATTCAATAATGCAATCTCCTTTTCCTACTCAAATGTAACAGCATGGTATTACCCTTAAACTGTGCTTGTTTTTAAGCTGATTTAACAACAGATGACTGAAGTAACACCTAATGTCAAAAGACCATTGTTTTTGTATTTTTCCCCCAAAGTTGAAAGAGAATTTTGGAAGGTGAGGTCCACAAAGTAATTTATAAATAACAAAACCCAAGGCTGGTTATTTTAAAGAAGGGAAAGTAAAGCTTAATGTTAATCAAAAACTTTTTCAGGATTTTTTTTTTCATTAATTGCAATGAACCTTTGGCGAAGCTGACTTTATAAAGTTACATTTTAATAATATCGCAGAAACCCTGGTCATTTGAAATGACACTGGTAATTACTCTGGTCTAATTACACAGCACAGCATGCATTTCACTGTTGGGCGAGTGTGAAAAGCCCACTGACCCGTCTACACACTGTTGATAGATGGCAAAAATACGTCTTTGAGTGAATAGCAGTTTATTTGACTTCAGAAGAGTTTGAAATTTAGTTGGAAATATGAGGAATTTAAAAACTCCCATTTAAACCATGGATTATTTTTCTTATTTTAGGAAGGGCTTGTCCATTCTTTTGAAAATTATAAAGACCTAATGAATACTCTTATTGCTCACCATATAACAATCCTATACTTTTGTTTTTCGTGATTGCATTTATTAGTTCCAGAGGGTATGCACAAGCAGAACTCATTGAGCCAATCTGCAGTCATGAAATCAACAGAGAGGAATGACTTTATATTCTTTTAAATTCATCTTTTTTATTCTGTATTGACTGCCAAAGCTGCCACCAATATAGACAGAAAGTGTGATCAGAAATACAGTATAGTTAAAATAGCAAATGAATATTAAAGCTGGCTGCCTAAATTCCCAAGGTTTGATTGTGGTTTTGATTTGTAGAATATCTTTTTGTGGTTTTCTTTCTCCAGGTAATGGGTAGAAAAAAATCGAGTGCAGGGAAAAAATGTGAAAAAGAATCTTTCTTTGCTTTCTCCATTTGGAGCCCATCCATCATCACAACCCAATTAAATGGAGACCGTCTATCCGCAATTAAAACAATCTGTTTACATGTGTTTGCTCTGTGTTTACTTTTGAAGATGTTGAAGACCTAAATATAACAGTAACATAGGTGTCCTGGGATATGCCAGGAGGTCAAAGAATTTAACCTAAGAAATAAGGTCAGGTCTTTTCCCTTGGAACATGAGATGTACTTTCCTTTACAAAGTAAAAGGCAGCTTTATAATGTTATTCATACCTCACGCAGCATAGTAACAACTTGTCTATTCACCCTAAAAGGAGTATATTCCCCTTTTCGTAATGTATTAGATTTGTCCCTGGAGATTAGTCTGTAGGCAGTTTTAAAGGATGAAACAGGATTAGATAAGGTTTCTTACTGAGAAAGTGGGCCTGAGTACATACTGCTGAAAACTACTTGGGTTACAGGCAATGAAACCATTCTTTGTTTCTACATTTTAAACTGCAGACTAACTTACTAAATTATCTGTGAACAAAGTGTCTCTTAACATGTTTTTTAAGTATTTAAGAGGCACTGATCATGCTTTCAATTCCTTTTGACATGTAGGATTATGTAAAAAAATAACTTGATTTCCAACAGAAAACAAAAAATCCATGTTTTTTACAGGAAATCTTGAAAAAACAACTATAAAAATAATTCTCATTGCCACCCCACAGCCTTTTGCAGTATGCAATGTTTTGCTAATGTACAGGAAGTAAGCTGTCAAAATGAACAGCAATTAATATACATTATGAACTCATTCTTCAGATTCCTTCATCGGGAAATTAATTCTTAATTATGTCTGCACTGTTACATTCAGTGCCTTTTAACAAATGAGTTGGGAATTCATGTCTTTATTTTATTAAATATAACTTTTCTGTAGTTAAAAGTTAATATGCAAATGCTGTAAAGTGATTAGAATTGGCAGTCTTTGGAGAGCAGCCAGTAATAATAGTGATTTTCAAGTTCTGCAGTCCTTTTTTGAAATTGTATTTGGGCTTACACATTGTTGTGATCATTGAAGTACATCACAGGTCCATCTGCTTGGCAGAAAAGTAAATCCTAAACCATCTGTGCTGCAACACATGCCAAGGAAGTGATATTGATAGGTACAGTTTGAAACAGATCACCCCCCTTTGGGTGGTAAGTTACACTTACTAAGATTCCAAATGAAAAAAAGGCACCATTAGTTAAGGAATAAACAATGGAACGTGTGAATTGATGAACTCTGATAGATATGAGAACTTGGGACGTGTTCAGTGCTGATTAAATATTTTCCCATTGAACTGGAAATCAAGAGTTTGACTCAGTTTGACTAAATTGTGTTTCCAAAAATTGTCAGTAGCCAATTTTTTTTATTTTATTTTGATTTCAGTGGTAGTTTCAATGCTTTGGAGATGTCCCTTAAACATCACTTCCAACATTTAAAGTGATTTTAGCTACAGCGTTACGTTATAAAGGTCAATACAGAGGATGGCATTCAAAAACTTTACAGCTAAAAGAGAATGCGTGCTATATATTACATTACAATGTCAACTTGTAACTTTGTGCTATAGGAGATTTTTTGAAGACTTAATGTTGTTTGCTCAGATATTATTTGGATTAAGAAAGCATAGTATGAAATGGCGAATAGGGCTTAGATTTTTTAAATTGCAGATCAGTTGATTTTCAATTGGCCTACTAAAGTTAAAATCAATGTCGTCAAAACATATAGAATATATGTCCGTACAGCTATTTGGATTTTTATATTACTGAATAAATATTAGTCTATTAGTGAAATAAATGAACTCATTTCTCCTTCACTGAGTCAGAATAGTTTACATTTCTGACTGTCAGACTATCTCTAGTACTGCTGAACTCGACAGGCCTATCATTGGTTTCCTTGAAGGGAAGGCTAAAAAGATACTAGGGCTTAACTAATGAGCTCTGAACACAGAATTCATTAAGGTGTCCAGTGTGACGTGGTTTTCTTAAGCTGTACAGAGTCGTTCATATGTTATAGTGAAAACACATGTACCATACCTGGAAGACTATAAAATGGTGTAAAACTTGATTATCTCTCCTTGTATCAGGTCCTAAGTAGGTACCAAAACTATGGAGCATAGTCAGATAAGATAGTGTTTCATATAAGCATGTAGAGGACCCTTCCTAAGAATAACTCTTAGATTAATTACATTGTAATCTTTAGCTGTTTGTCTTTTCCAGAAAAGAAAAGCAAGTACGAAACATTCTGACTTGTTGGAAAGAGACATTTTGCACATGATGGTAAAATAAGGCACTCAGTGTCCAACGAGGTTCCTCATGCAATGAGTTAATAAATTATTTTAGCATT